AAGCTCTGATTAAAAAGAAGACATTGAATCCTCCAAGTGCATTGACACACTCTGACTTCCAATTAACAGGGAGCAGAGGCAGAGGATGACCAGAGGGTTGGGCTCCAACAAGCCTGGGAAATCATGCAAAAACCTATTTCCAAAAAAGAAAATCAATGTTAAGAAAGTACTCAAGTTTTGTTGTTTGTTTTGTTTGCTTTTGGTCACCACCAAAACAAAATAAGAGGAAGAAAAGAAGAAAGGACTTTTATACAAAGTGCTCCTGGGCACAGAACACGTCTGTAGTTCCAGCAACTCAGGAGACTAAACCAGGACACTTAACAAATGTTAAGGCCTACCAGGGCTTCCAGGGTAAGAGTTCCAGATCAGCCTAGGCAATACCTGATAAGATCCTGTCTTAAAAGGTGGGAGAAAAAGCCAGGTGGTACTAGCACACAACCTTTAATTCCAGCACCAGGAAGCAGAGGAAGACCTGTCAGGGGTACAAACAATGCCTCTGTGTAAAAAGGGGGTGGGGGTACTAAAGATACAGGTCAATAGTAAAGCTCTCACCAGCTTGTGAGAGGCCTTAGCTTTAAACTTTAGTAATGTACTAATAACAACGTATTAACTCTGAAAAAACCAGCACATGTAAACCCCAGGAATGCCTCCTGAGAAAGAGAGGCAGAGAGATAGATCTCTGGAAGTTCAAGGCCAGGCTCATCTATGAATTTCAGAGCAGTCAGGGCTATATATATATAAAGAGACCCTATCTCAAAACACTAAGGAACAAAAACTACCCAGCACTGCACAAGCTTGAAGTCCTATCACTTACAAGACCAAGGTACAGGTCTTCTGTTGGATACTAATCCAGGCTATATATAAAGCACAGTAAAATACTGCCTGCCTCTGTCTCCCAAGTTCTGGGATTAAAGGCGTGCGCCACCACAGCCCGGCATCTGGCGGATTTCTGAGTTCGAGGCCAGCCTGGTCTACAGAGTGAGTTCCAGGACAGCCAAGGCTACATAGAGAAACCCTGTCTCGAAAAACCAAGAAAAAAAAAAAAAAAGTAACATGACAGAGACTGAAAAGATGGCTCAGCACTTGCTGTTCCCCAAGTGTTGGCCCTTCATTCTGACTGGCCACATCAGGTGACTGACTCACAGGCCCCAGGATCCCATGCTTCTCTGGCTTCCTCAGGCACCTGCAACTCAAGTGTACAGACCCACTATACACAACACACACACCTACACATAATAAAAAGGGAAATTAAAAATTTATGACATAACAAAAGGTCTTTTAATAGAAAAAGGAGGCTTTCAGGTGCAGATCAGTAGCAGAGTGATTGCCTGGCATAAGTGAGACCTTGGATTTGATCCTTCCCTCTGTGGAAAAACCAAAATGAATGAAAACTGGATATGTTGACACACACCTTTAATCTCAGCACACAGGAGGCAGATCTGAGGTCAGCCTGGTGTACGGAATTCCAGGACAGCCAGGGCTACATAGAGAAACCCTGGGGGCCGGAGGAAGGAAAACAAGGGAGGAAGGAAGGAAGGAAGGAAGGAAGGAAGGAAGGAAGGAAGGAAGGAAGGAAGGAAAAACATTAAGAAAGCACAGTGGTGTGGACTTCTTCATATTGATAGTCTTGGAACTCTGGAGGTAGAGGCAGAGTGATCATGAATTAATTCAACGTCAGTCTGAACCACAGTGAGACCCTGTCTCAAAGGAAAGAAAGTGTGAGAAAAGGAAGGAGTAAATCCCGGCTGATGTCTGTTCTGTATCTGAGCTCCTGCTGCCTTTAGCTTTAGGTAGCACTGGGATCAAGAGAATGTGACACCAAGCCTAGGTCGAACTCAACTCTTGCCTGAGTTTCAGAGCTCACATACAGCATGTTACTTTACCACTGTGTCTCAGGTATCTGAAGATGACCTTGAACTACTGATCTCATGTTGCCACTTTCCAGTCCTGGACTACAGGCATAAGCTAAAATGCTCTCTATGTATGAACACACACACATGCATCACATTTGTGCCTGCTGGATGCCCTGGCAACTGCAGTTAGGGAGAGCTGTGCACTACTACATGGTGACAAGCAAACCTCACCTTCTCAATAGCAACAAGCACTCTCTTCAGCTTCCACCTCACTCACTTAAAATGAGGAAGCCAATACAGGACACTCTGTGAAATTGAATTACAATTACAGTGAGAAAAACTCAAAATGCCCAGGCTTATGGGCCTCAGTCTTGGAAAGTGTGGCTTCAAAGTTGATGACACAAAGACACTCTGAGGTCAACCCATGCCACACAAGATCCTGTTGCAAGAAGATAAAAAATGTAAATGCTGACATTGATGAAAGAGGGACCAGGAAATAAACAAATCTTGGGCGTGGGGGATGACGCTTGGCAGTGAGAGCACTGGCCTATCCAGGGTAGGATCCCAGATCAGCTACCCAACACTATTAACACTTTCAGCTGGGTGTGGTGGGCATGCTTATAGCCCAAACATTTGAGAACAGGTAAGAGGACCAGAGCATGTTTGAGGCCAACCAGGACTACAAGACTGTATCTTAATCTTTTTCTAAAAGTAATCTATTATAAAATAAGCATGATAAAAAAATAATGGTTAGAGGATTAGGACCCAAGACCTGGAGCCAAGAATGTGAATGTGTTGTACACTGCCTCCTAAAGGTAAGCAAAGGCTACAGGGCAACAACAACGCCCCCCCCCCCCAACTCATGCTAGGAACCTGTCACTACGAACAAGGAAAAGATTGCTCAGGTGCTCCTTGGAGTCATAAGCTATTCCTCACACTAACATTGTTAGTCACAAATGAAGAGAAACGGTGAGAAGTGGGAACACCTAAAACTTCAGTCAAGGAAACCAATACATAACCCCTTAACGTCAGGATCTAACACAAGTCTTAAAACAAAGTGGGATGGCTCCTAGGATCACAAGAAAAGACAATGTCATCAGGAATTGGGAAGGGGTAGTTCAGAGTCAAGTTTAAAAAAAGTTTTTACCTAGGATTGAACTCTGGATACCCAGGTACATGCCTGCAGGATATACTCTTACTAGGTCGGCCCTAAGATTATCCAACTAATCTCCTCCTCTGAGTTAGGGATCACTGGGCAGCTAATTTTTAGTCCCACTTATGTTTGCCTATAAAACAGAATATTCTAAATACTAGATTTTAAAACTCATTCCAATTTTTAAAAAAATTCTAAATATTTACATACCAATACTTGGAAAATTCAGCTTTCCATTTTCACAAGCCACAGCTTCTATCATCTTACTAAATACTTTCAGGTATCTATTACTTAACTCTTAATGACTGAAATGCCTTAACCCTTTAATGACTGAACTGCCTCTTTTGTAAAAGGAAAACAAGTTTACTTTCCAGAACAATGTAAATGAGTCTGATACACTTAAAAACAAAACAAAACAAAATGTCAGGCATATCAAATTTTCAGGACAAACTTCAAAGGTAGTGATGCCAAAGGCTGAAATCTGGACCTGGGTTTGCTCAAAACTCATTTTTTCCCATTACAAAACTCTTTATAAGCACTAGCCTCAGGTTGTCATCCAGGGTTTAAGGCAATTTACTAAATTTTTCTAGGCTTTATATCCTAAAAATAAGTGACCTTCATAAGGTGTGGTAGCACGCACCTTTAATCCCAGAACTCAGGAGGCAGAGGCAGGCAGGTCTGAGTGTTTAAAACCAGCCTGGTCTATATAATAGTAAGAGTTCCAAGATAGCCAGAGACCCTAGAGAGGATAGAAGTGGGGAGGGACCTTCTAAGATTTAGGCAAATTTGCAAAAATCAACCCAAACAAGCTCCATTTCCCTGCCTTCTGGGGGGAAAAGAAAACCAATCAAACAAAATAACCCCTCACTTTTAAAACCTAAAGCTTCTGCTAAGCCGGGTCACTTGTGTGACTAATAAACTACAGTCTAAGTGTGCTGAGCAGCAGGCCGGCTCCATAAACACCACAGTGAGGCACTGAGACCAGAGTCTCCTTTCTAAAATCAATGACTGGCCAGCAATACAAAAGAATGAATTCCACCCACCACCACAGGCTGTCTGAGTCATAAAAAGGAGGACTGACCAACATCTATTTGACTTGAAAAGGGTTATCAAAATGGTTAGGCTCCTGCCTTTGGAGTAGGACTTTTAGAAAGGAATTAAAACTCATAGGTAGGCTTGTTTTGTAACTAGGGACTCACGGTTGGTCAGTGAGCAAATGAAGCCCAACATTTCCAAAGCTAAGATTAACACCCTTCATATAAGCTATTAACGACCATGTTTCTGAAAGGGGTAATACGGAGATTCTCAGAAGAGAAATATATCAATAGAAGTAAATAGCTAAAATGTACAATGATTTTACGAAAAAAGAGCTTGTATAAGGTTCAAGAAGTTTAACAGAGATGGACATCGGAAACGTATTCGTGTTATTCAGCGAACTTCCTGCACATTTGCATACGCCTCTCATATTTCACATTACCTCGACCTGGTGAGAGTTTTGTGAGAGTGGGCAGCCACTAGCACCAAAGCGTAAGGAAACTGTTTAATCCAGTCTTCAAACTACTTCTAGCACTTTAGTGTCCACGAACACAAGGCAGTGGACTGTTCTAAAAACCTCCGCTGACTTAAAATAATTTTGACTGAAAGTCAGTCTATGCTTAAAATCCCCAACCTCTCCCAACCTCTCTATCGGATTCAATCTCACAGGCAAACCCTAACTCATGAGAAATAAAATAAACCCAGCGCTATCATTAAAAAAAAACAAAACAAAACTGTCGTTCCACTCCCTCCCCCAATACATCCACAACTTTGGAAAACTTTGTTTCCAGGCTTCCCAAACCCCTACGCATAAGCTCCCCCGAACCTCTCGCGATCAGAACGACGCCTTCCCCCGGAGGATTTTAATTTTTTACCCCTTTCTTTGCTTTAGTTTTAGTCTTTCCCACTGATAAATGTTTTCCCAAAAGATCTGAAGAAAAGTGCTGGATCTACAGTACCTGGGCGTTGGCTTCGAGGAGTTTGTGTTCGGTGGAGACGTGGTGCCTCAGGAGCAGGGTTTTCTTGTAGTTGCGGGTCCCTCGCGAAAGCTCATCATGCCCCACCTGGGGAAGGTCCACGCTGCCCCCATCCTCGGGGGTCTTTTGGCACCAGCCGCAAAACATAAGGCCAGTATCCTTGGAGTACCGCAACCAAGGGAAGTCCTTGAGCCAAGAGGCCTGGAAGGAGCACTGGAGCTTCTGCATGAGGGACTTGGGCCTCGCGAGCGGGAAGTGCTGGACAGTCTCTCCTTCGCCAGCTCCCACACCGCTGCCCTCCGCTTCGTCCCCGCCATCGCCTCCCGACCGCCTGCTGCTGCTGCAGCTGCCGCCTTCCGCCCCACTGCCATCGCCCGGGCTCGCCCCCTCCTCCTCGGTGCTGTAGCTCAGGGACGCCCCGTCCTGCACCAACTCCTTCCCCTCCAGCGCGTCCTGCTCCGGATCCACGGCCGCCGGCCCTCGCCCATTGAAATGCCTGAGGGGCCACGCCGAGGTCTCCGGGCGGCCGCGGCTGCTGCCATTGTTGCCGAGACCCCCGCCGCCTCCCCCGCGGAAGGCCAGAGTCCGACGGTTCCTTTCCGCTAGCAGTGGGCCCCCCGCGCCGCCGCCCAGCGAGGCGGGGCCGCCCGTGTCCTGAGGGAACAGCAGCAACTCCTTGGCGTCTTCGGCGGCGGCCGCCCCGGCGGAGGCCTCCGAGTCTTGGGGCTCCAGGCCCTCCAATTCCATTTCCTCGTCGGCCCCGCGCCCATTGGGCTGCTGCGGCGCGGGCAGCGCAGGCAGTCGCGGCTGCGGCTGCGGAGGCCAAGAAGAGGCCTCCCCGCTAGCGTTATTGTTCGTGGGGCCGCCGCCGCCGGTGACCAACCCGCCTCCTCGGAACGCCAGCGTCCTGCGGTTCATTTCACTGAACGACATGGCGCGCGCCGCCGCCGCCGCCGCCGCCCGGTGCCTCGGCTCGCGCCCGGGCTCCGGCCGCGTCCCGCGCGCTCGCCGCGGCTCCCCCAACGTCTCACCCCCGCCCCCGCCCCCGGCGCGGCGCTGCGCTGCGCTCCCGCCGGCCCGGCCTCACCCTCTCGCCGGCTCGCGCTCGCTCCCGCTCCCGGGCCGCCGCACGCGTCTGCTGCTGCTGCTGTCCCAGCCGCGTCCTCTCCACCCCCGCCCCGCCGCGCTCCGGGCAGCGTCCCGCGAGGAGAGGTGGGCGGGCAGCGGAGCGGCGAGCCGGGGCGCGTGCGGCCTTCGAAGTTGAGGAGGAGTGCGGGCGCTCCTCCGCTGCCCCGCTTCAGCGCTGTGCGCACACACCGGCCCGCCAACAGATCTCCGTCCTCGGGGAGTCGCGCCGCCGCCGCCGGCTGCCGAGACGCGGACGCGAGAGGCGCGCTAAGCCGCCAGGCTCCGCCACATAGCGAGCCGACAATAAAGCCGGCGGAGCGTTTCCGTCCGACCAGGCCCTGGCGGAGGTCGAATGGCAAATGAACAACGGACCGTGCGCCCACAATGCACCGGGGTAGCTTTAACCGCTGGAGGGGGAGAGGGTGGGGGCCGGCCGGGGGAGGGGGCGGGCTGGGCCGGGCTGGGCTGGGCTGGGGGCGCCCGGGGACCCGGAAAGGGGCCGGCTTCTCGGGCCTGCGGGCGGGGGTGCGGCCACGGGAAGGAAGCGGGCGGGGCGCGGGGCTGGGGTCTCGGGGCGGGGCTGGCTCGGCCAGGACAAACAGCTGGCGGGTGTCAGGGGCCGCCTGGCCGCCGCGCGCCCCGGCGCACCGCGCCCGATTCTCGCCACGACTTCACCTGGGACTCCGCGAGTAACTGCAGTGGGAGCGCGCCCCGGCCCTGTCATCTGCTGGGGGCCGGGGGGCCGTGCCCGAGGAAGTGAACTTATTTTGTTCCTTCACAAAAGACTGGACCAGGCGGTGCCTCCCTCGCGAGGACACCTCCTTGGGCGCATTGTGTACGCTGGGCAGCACCTCTGGCCCCGGGCGACGATCGTTTCACAGAAAATGCACCGCCCCGAGTGTCTTATTGCTGTGATGAAATGGAAATTTAAATAAAAGGTCGAACACGTGCGTTCACTGGGAAGTATTGACATGGGTGTTACATCACCAGCAGCCAATCAGATAACTCCAGTCGTGTTTATACTTCTACAACCACCTTGTGAGTATTACAGTATGTCATAGCGTTATAAATATTAGGCAGGGTTTTCCCCACGAGCGGGGAGGAGTCAGCTGCTGCGGGCGCCGCGTGCGGCTGCGAAGAGAGTGCAGCTCCGAAGACAGGGTGTGCAGATGAGAATTAATTTTTAGGACTTTGAGAAAAGCTCTTGGCGTCGCGTATGGAATTTAGAGTGATTACATCGGTCTAAGCTGGAAATGAACCTCCCGAAGTTTTATTAGCCTAGTTTTTGTTGTTTTTTTTTCTTTTCAGAAAAAGGCCTTGCCAATTAAGGGCCCTTAAACTCGCCCCTCTCCAGCCCCCGGAATTATGCTCTATTGGAAAACATTAGCGCATTTAGACTCATTAATTCACAAAGTGAGGTAGATTTATCTATTATTTAGTGGGGGCGATTTTTGAAACAGGGTCGAGGCCAGCCTAGTCTACATCGTTAACTTAAAGTGAGCCAAGGATATACACTGAGACCCTGCTTCAGTGTCTGGAGGCCTGGAATTACTGGGATTACAGGTGTGCACCACCATGTTGCATAAGATTAATTTAAAATTTCTTCTGTTCCAGCCTGTTTCAGGCTTTTCTTTCCTTTTTCTTTTTTTCCCTTTCCTTTCTTAATTTTCTTTTTTTAAAGACTATGTAGCCCTGGCTGTCCTAGAACCCACAGAGATCCACCCACCTGAAGCTTCCTTTTGGGGGGGTGGGGATGGGGTGGGGAGAGCAGTTGATAAACAGTGGTCTCTCATCTTTCAAGTTTTAAACTTAGGATTGATGGCTGTTCTGCGGACCTAGAGCCTGTGTATGGTGGCTCATTACCTGTAACTGCAGCTACAGGGAATATGCTCAGCTACCAGGTACACATGGTGTACAGACATATGTGCGGGAACAACACTCGTGCACACAGTTTTTTAAATTTAAAATACATTTTTTCTCCATGTGTTATAAATTAATGTTTGCTAACACTTTTTTGAGACAGCATTATTATGTAGCCTGGTGGCCTTGAATTCATTCAGCCTCATTCTGTCACCATGCGCAGCTTACCTCAGTGGAACTTTTGGTTTGTTTATACGGTTCTCACTTTATACCCCTGGTTGTCCTCAAAGTCACTGTATAGATGAGGTTGCCTATAATTGACAGCACTCCTGCCTCAGTCAAGAGCTAGGGTTAAAGGTGAGACCCCCATGCCTGGTCACCTTAACACTTTTGATTGAACTAAGCACAGATGAACTGTGGTGCAGTGATTTAGAGTTTAGTACCTGTTTAATGAAGTTTTGTATATGAAATAAAATTCATGAGTTCTAACGTGAGCTTGAGTTTATATAAACTTGTCTAAACTTGTCACCTATGACAGACGACATAATCTCAGTGAGCAGACTGATGGCACTGCTGTGCCACAGAAAGCGTTGGACTTGGATTACCTCCCTAGCTGGACACATACCATCCACCCGTACTGCGTCCTGGCCATCCAGTGCTGTAGGCCCTCAGCGGATGAAGGCCCTCAGACTGATTCTGTGGGGAGTTCAGCTTGTGATTTTAAGACCGTCCTGTGGCCTGCACCTTGGAGGAAGAAGACAGCCCTGCCTGCTGTGGCTGGAAAGTGTAGAAAATGTAGCACTGACCAACAGGCTTGGCTCTCTACACTCTCGTTAGGGATGATGGCACAGAACTGAAATCCCAGAACTGAAGAGGAAGCTGAAGCAGGAGGATCAGCTCAAACTAGCCTCTGTTATATAACAGGCTTTAGACCAGCCTAAGCTACACAAGATCCAATCTCAAAAAGTAAATTAATGGACAAATGTTTAAATAAAATAATTTCCACATTGTCTTCTTTCTGAAATTATCTTTAAACATGAGCTAATTAAGAATGAATGCGCTGGACAGTGGTGGCGCGCGCCTTTAATCCCAGCACTTGGGAGGCAGAGGCAGGCGGATTTCTGAGTTCCAGGCCAGCCTGGTCTACAGAGTAAGTTCCAGGACAGCCAGAGCTACACAGAGAAACCCTGTATCAAAAAACCAAACCAAAAAAAAAAAAAAGAATGAATGATACTCAGGGAGGGGAGGTCCTGGATGGCTGAGGACTGCCTATAACTCTGTCTTCAGGGAATCCAGTTGCCTCTTCTGTTCTCCACAGACAACCTGCCCCCAACACACATATGAAAATAATGTGAATGACACTAGGGTCAGAGTGCATTGGCAGATTTGGTGTAGTGCTTATATAGCATGAACCATGCCCTTAGCTAGATCCCCAGGACTGCATAGACCAGGGATGCTAACATGGACCTGTGACCAGGTGTGCTAACATGAACCTGTGACTCCATCACTTGGAAAGGAGAGGAAAAGAATCACACTTCATCCTTAGCTATGTTAAGTTTGCGGCCAGCCAGACACTCAGGACCTCCAGTCTCAAAAGAAAAAATAAATAGCAATACTAGATTTATGAGTGTAAATTAAATTCTGTGATCATTGAAATAATAGCCAAACGGTAGTGGTGAGAGGAGTCAGGGTGTGTGTGTCTGTGTGTATTTCAGTTGTCCATCTCTAAAACCTAAAAGAAATCAGAAACCTTGAAGGAATCAGAAACAGGTCTCTGCCACCAAATGCCCTGTGCCAAGGGAACTGTGACTAACAAGGGGCTCTCCTTTGTAATTGGAGTGTTTAGGAATTCCCCCACCACTTCCAGTCTCCAACTATCAAGCAGGAACCTGTTCTCCCCTGTAGCCCCCATACTTACTGTTAGGGTTCTGCCATATTTAAGGGAATCCCCTCTGATGCTTACCAGGGGAACCCCTGAAGAATGGGGCAATCCCAAACAATCTGTCCCCTAATTTCACTTAAATTTTGTAAAACTTCTAGAGGTGATGCTTCACGCTATTCCTGGGGGACTGATGGGAATTAATGCCTAGACCTGGGTCAGCTGCGCCCTGGTCAGACTGAACTGTCCTTGAGTACCTTGGGGGGCTTTTGCTGTTCAGCACTTTGACTGATATGCTTTAGAAACAGTGGCCCACGCCCATGCTGCTTCTGTGAAATAGGCCCAGCCTGGAAAATCAAGCAAAGAATAAGACTGAGAGAGTTTATGATGTCTTTCCTCACAATCTTCTTTAATAAACTTTTCTGTTGACTCTCTTATCTAAGGATAAGTTATTCTTTCAAAAAAGATTGAATTAGAGCCACACAAGGTGGCTCACGTATAACCCTAGTCCTTAGGAGGCTGAGGCAGGAGGATCAAACATTCAAGGTGTGCCTGACTCTAGAGAATCTTTTCAGTTAGGGTGATCCCTTCCTGTCAAAGCCAAACTTTGTACATGATGTTATATCTATAAAATTATAAGATACATTGGTTTTAGTAGCTACATTAAAAATTAAACTTTATTGTTCAAATACAGTTGTAAGAAAAAAGAAAAGTCTCACCCACTATTTCCAGTACCCAGAATTAGTATTATGAAAGTAGTATATCTGTACACAGCACTCTAGTTTTGATATTTGTGAGTTGGGTCCTATCTCATTTTTTAGCAACTCATGCATTTTAGTATCACTAGATACCCTGGGTCTTTTGATTTTTTTTTATTTTTTTATTTTTTTGGTTTTTCGAGACAGGGTTCCTCTGTATAGCCCGGGCTGTCCTGTAACCCACTCTGTAGACCAGGCTGGCCTCGAACTCAGAAATCCACCTGCCTCTGCCTCCCAAGTGCTGGGATTAAAGGTGTGCGACACCACTACCCAGCCCCTGGGTCTTTTGAATCGCTCATCTTACCCTA